TGGGCATCGGGCACAGGGTGGATCCATGGGCTGGGAGGGCTTTTCCAACCTCAGTGATTCCATGATCCTGTGATGTTGTGTTCCTTCCATTCCCACATTTCCCTGGGGTGCTGCCAGGTGTGACTGTGGGACTGACAGCTGGGTTTGGTTGGAGGAGGCTCCTCAGGGGGTTTCTGTGGTGTCACTGAAGGTGTGATGCTGGGTAACCTTCCTCCTGCTCTGCCCCCCTTCTGTCCCAGTTCGTGCACTGGGAGCATCTCTCCTCTGGGCTGGGTGAGATGGGATGGAGGAAACAGGAGGGTCTGTATCATGGCACGTTGGAATACATGCATTTATAAATTTTATCTTGATAGCAGGCGACAAGAAATTATGTTCCGCATAAAACAGAAACACCTCGGGGTTCAAACGGATTGAAATGCTTTTTCCCCGTAACAAATCTGTATTTACTGTGGGGTTTTATTATATTTTCTTACAGATATTTTCTCTCAGATATCAGATTCCAACGGACTAATGATATTTACCAAGTTTGACCAGTTTCTGAGGGAGGTTCTGAAGCTCCCCACGGCCGTGTTTGAGGGGCCTTCCTTCGGGTACACGGAGCATTCCGTGCGGACCTGCTTCCCTCAGCAGGTGAGGATTCCCGCCCCAGGGCTTGGGATTCCTGGGTCATCGAGTCCATGGCAGTTGGAGGGAGGGGGTTGCTGGTTTTAGGCATCCCAGGCAGTTTTAAGACAGCCTAAAACAGGCGATTAAAGGATTTTCCACCGCTGTAGTTGATTCCCTTCCTTGAGGTCACACCCCAGTTCCCCACCAGAGCAGCAGGGATGAACCATTTCTTTTCCAAAACGTGAAACATGGCATTTTTACTGTTTTCTGTTGATCTTTTTAAAGCTTTTCCACAATTCATTTCAACTGGGTCTGTACCAAATAAACACTTTCTTTACAGGCAGTTTATTTTTAAGTCGGTTTCAGCTGTGATTTAGTTGTTCCAATGATTTGCTTTTCATTTAAGATAACATAAATAGTATTTAACTCAAATGTAAACACGAACCTGGGTGATCTTAAGCCTCAGATTAAATGTTCAGGCTCTGGGCATGGTGATGTTCCAGAAGAAATACTTTTGCAGTGTTTAGATGTGAAATTTGTAGACACTAAATGTGAGTTAATTAGCAGTTGGTGGATTTGGGAAATGACACAGTGGGGAGCAACCTTTGATTTCAGAACCCACGAGGCTCCAGATTTACGCTGTGTATTGGGAAGGAATTCTTGGCTGTGAGGGTGGTGAGGCCCTGGCCCAGGTTGCCCAGAGAAGCTGTGTCTGCCCCTGGATCCCTGGAAGTGTCCCAGGCCAGGTTGGACAGGGCTTGGAGCAACCTGGGCTGGTGGGAGGTGTCCCTGCCCATGGCAGGGGGTGGAATGGGATGAGCTTTAAGGTCCCTTCCCACCCAAACCAGTCTGGGATTCCAGGGTTCTCAGACAGTCTGTGAAGTGTTCCTGGGAGGCACAAGTTGTGCCATAGAGAAGTTTTAAGGCTGAAGTGGTTTTTGGTGTATAAAATGGGAGTTTTTCTATACAATCAAGTTCTCTTTCTGTTTTCTCTGCAGAAGAAGATCATGCTAAACATGTTTTTGGACACGTTGATGGCTGATCCTCCCCCCCAGTGCCTTGTGTGGCTCCCTCTCATGCACAGACTCGCCCACGTTGAAAATGGTAAGTGGGATATGCAAGTAAAACCCCAAAAAGCCCTGCAGCCACCCCAAAGAGCTCCCACCTCTTTGGTTTCCACCTTGCTGGCAGATGCCTTGCCCCTGATCCAATGTTCCTGATGCTGGGTGTTCCAGTCTCCTCTTTACCCACAGTTGTGGGGCCTTTGGCAGGCCATGGGGTGCTGTCACTGGGGGGTTGTGCCTCAGGGTTTATTTTATCAAATGTGTTGTTGCTTTCCCGGATCACCCTGTCAGGGTTTGGGCTCTTTGGTTCAGGACACTGTGGTGCTTTTGTCCCCTTTTATCAGTGGGAATCTCTGCTGGCTGCAGGAGCCAGGGAAGAGAAGGGACAGTTTGGAAAAGGTGGGGGAGAACTTATGGAGGCCAAGCTGGGAGAGCTGGGGGGGTTCACCTGGAGAAGGGAAGGATCCAGGGAGACCTTGGAGCCCCTTCCAGAGCCTAAAGGGGCTCCAGGAGAGCTGGAGAGGGACTGGGGACAAGGCATGGAGGGACAGGACACAGGGAATGGCTTCCCACTGCCAGAGGGCAGGGAGAGATGGGAGATTGGGAAGGGATTATTCCCTGTGAGGGTGGGAAGGAATTCTTCCCTGTGAGGATGGGGAGGCCCTGGTTCTGGTTCTGCTCCCTCTCCCTCACCTTTCAGGATGCATTTCCCATGGGAAGGTACAGTCTCCTTCACCTCACTCTGATGTTCCTCCTTGGTTTGTTCCTCTCACAATCCCCCCCGGAATAACAAGTGCTCAGGGCCCTGGGGGTGGTTTGGGAGCTGCAACGAATCGGGATGCTCAAGCTTTCCCTAAATTCCACTTCATGCTTTTTTTTCCCTTTGCTTTTTTCCCCCCTCCTGCCAGTCTTCCACCCTGTGGAGTGCTCGTACTGCCACTGTGAGAGCATGATGGGATTCCGGTACCGGTGCCAGCAGTGCCACAACTACCAGCTCTGCCAGAGCTGCTTCTGGAGAGGCCACGCCAGCGGCCCCCACAGCAACCAGCACCAGATGAAGGAGCACTCCTCCTGGGTAACTCGGGCTGCAGCAGCCACCCCCCTGCTCATTCCTGCTGGAACTCACAGGCTTTAGCCCAGAAACCCACCCCGGGGCTTTCCAAGGTCCCCAAATGGTGGAAGTGTGTAAATAGGAACAGTGCTGGGTTTGTGGTTTGTTGTTCACTGGGTTAAACCTGGCTGGTGGCCCAGGGAATGCAGTCCCATCCAGCTGGGAATGGGCTCCAGTGGGTTACACAGGGATCATTGCTGGGACCAGCCCTGTTTAACACCTTCATTGATGAGCTGGACGAGGGGATCGAGGGCACCTCATGGATGACACCAGGGTGGGTGGGATGTGAGTCTGCTGGAGGGCAGGAAGGGCCTGCAGAGGGGTCTGGCCAGGCTGGACCCATGGGCCAAGGTCACTGGTGTGAGGGACAACCAGGCCAAGTACCAGGTCCTGCCCCTGGGTCACCACAACCCCCTGGAACACTCCAGGCTGGGGCAGAGGGGCTGGAAAGCTGGAAAAGGCCCTGGGGGATGTTGGTGGCAGCGGCTGGACACGATCCCAGCTGTGCCAGGGGAGGCTCAGGTTGGACAGGAGGAGGAATTTCTCCCTGGAAAGGGTGGTCAGGCCCTGGCAGGGGCTGCCCAGGGAGGTTTGGAGTGCCCAGCCCTGGAGGTGTCCCAGGAAGGCCTGGCTGTGGCACTCAGTGCTCTGGGCTGGGGGACAAGGTGGGGATGAGGCACAGGGGGGATCCCTGGGCTGGGAGGGCTTTTCCAACCCGAACAATCCCGTGGTTCTGTTCCCCACACCGTGGATTTGTTGGTGGCTGTCCCTGGGTTCAGGTGCTGTTGAAGGTCCTGCTCAGCCCCTCAGCGTGGGTGTTTCTCTTCACATCAGTCCCACTTTTCTTACATTGTCTTCTCCTGTAGCATAAAAATCCCCAAACACTGCCCCTGCTGTCCTGCCCAGAAAGGTAACCAGTTCCCATGGATGCTGTGCTTACACAGGTATTTTATCCAGTGGCACCTTTAAAGACAGTATTTCTTTAAGAGAAAAACCCCATTATTGCCATTCTCCTGCCAGGTGTAAATATGTGCCTGGAAAACTCTTAATTGAAAAGCCTTGAAGAAATCATCTGAGCAATAAAATGCAGTTTGATAATCACAGCTCAAGAAATAATGGACAGTTTTATGTAGAAAAAACCTATTTTATGGCAAAAGATTAAAGCCAGCCTTTTACTTAAATTCAAAGAGAAGTTCAGATGGTGACTGGATTATAATTAGTAATTATCTTCACAAGAAAGTACCATTATAGCATTGCTGTTAAATTTAGAAAATTGGGGCTGGATACCAGTCAGGAGTCAGGAGGCAAAGGAAAATTTAGCCTTAAATATTGTCCTTTTTATAACTCTGTGGGTATTAAACTTGTGGAATGTTTAATCTGAGCTAAGAGCAGGGTATTATCCCCTTAAAGTGTGCATAAATCCAGCCTGGGATTTTTAGTATGAAGATGTATCTAAGCCACAGAATTCCAGCCTGGTTTGGGTGGGGAGGGACCTTTGGGCTCATCCACCCCCTGCCACTATCCCAGGTTGCTCCAAACCCCTCCAGCCTGGCCCTGGACACTTCCATGGATTTCAGTCAGTGGTAAGGCAACCAGAAAGAGGCTAAAATACTCCTGGCTCTAGCTCTAAAAACTAATTTCTGAGCCTTTTTGAACCATTTACTGCTTATTTCAAGCAACAAAGTGTTTTAAATGGGCTGAGCAGTTCAGGGATGTATGGAGTTGTTTATGGGAGACTGGGCTGTCTCCCATAAACTGAGCCTGGAAGAGGAGCCTTTGAGAGAGAGAGATCTCTTACATATCCATTTCTTTTCATTTTTTAACTTCTGCCAGTCTCATGTGTTAACTTCATGAAAACTGAAAATGAATCCTGATTTAAAAAACCATGTCCTGCTTTTGGATGTGGACTGTGCTGCTGGGTCAGTGACTTCCCTGTGTGTTTGCTCCACAAGAATTCCTTGGGGGAAACCCAAGTGCTCCAGCTGAGCAGGTGCTCTGGGACAGGCAAACCAGGGATTTGCTTTTCCCAGGTTTTCAGAGCAACCAGAACTGGTTCAGTCTTGCCTGGTGTGTTTTGGAGCTGTATGACCCAAAATAAGTGTTAATAATAAGTACCTCATACTTATTATTAATGTTATTATTAACACACTTATTAGTAATTATGCTTATTGTGAATGTTATTATTAATACACATTATTATAGGTTCTTTCTTCTGAAGTTCTGAACTGCCTTTGGTAGTTTTTTCATGCTGTAAATCACATAATATAGAAATTTTTAATACTTATATATATTGCTCCAGTGAGTATATTAAAATCTTTTACTATAGTGATTTTATATTTATAAGTTCAGGTAGAAACCTATTTTTGAAAGGGGTTTTGCTGCATGAAAATGTTGCTTGTTGGGGCCTGTTTGGGGGGATATAAACCTTCAGACACTTTCCAAATGTTTCCTTTTGGGCCATTTCAGTTTTGTTTTTTTTCTGAATAGCCCTGGACAGGGTTCAGTGAGTTCTGTGCACGCAGCAGAACCCAAAATCCAGCTGTTCCTCCTGAAAGCCTGGGGATTAGCCAGAGCTCATCCTGGCTGGGGGGGAGTTGGGTCAGTTTGTTGAGCTTAAAGAATCTGCCAGCAGCAAATTTCGGGTCAGTTGAAATTGTTATTCATGTTGCAGTTAAATTTATTGTTTGATATTTAATATTATAATCGAAATACCCCGATGTGCTTTGGGGGAGTTCCTCGGCTGTAGGTGGGGTCAGGACGCTCCTCCTGCTGTAAATAATGGAATGTTTGTGGCTTAAAACCCACCTTAACCGGTGCCTTTGGATCAGAGACAGACAAACCAAAGGCATGTTTGGGTGTTCCTGGAGCGAGGACACCTCTGGATACCTCTGGGAGTCCTTACATGGGATGTGATGGGATCCAAGCCAGGGACAGCCCCTCCCACCTGCCCAGCCCTGCTCCGGGAGCTGCTCATGACTTTTGGCACAGGGAATCTTGTCTTTCATTTTTCTGGCTCCTTTAATTTCCCATTCAGACGACCTTGAAGCAAAATTAAACCTTTCTGGACGTGTTTGTGTCCGGTCCCGTGGATCCCAGTATCCCACAGGTATCCCAGTATCCCTCAGGGATCCCAGTATCCCACAGGGATCCCAGTATCCCACACGGATCCCAGTATCCCACACGTGGATCCCAGTATCCCACACAGATCTCAGTATCCCATGTGGATCCCAGTATCCCATGTGGATCCCAGTATCCCACAGGTATCCCACACGTGGATCCCAGTATCCCACATGGATCCCACAGGTTTCCCACAGGTATCCCAGTATCCCACAGAAATCCCGGTATCCCACAGATATCCCAGTATCCCACAGGTGGATCCCAGTATCCCACACAGATTCCAGTATCCCACTGGTATCCCAGTATCCCGCACGTATCCCATAGATATCCCAGTATCCCACAGGTATCCCAGTATCCCACAGAAATCTCAGTATCCCACAGGTATCCCAGTCTCCCACACAGATCCCAGTATCCCACAGGTATCCCACAGGTATCCCAGTATCCCACAGGTATCCCAGTATCCCGCACAGATCCCAGTATCCCCCCGGTATCCCAGTCTCCCACAGGTATCCCCCCGGTATCCCAGTATCCCACCGGTATCCCAGTATCCCACAGGTATCCCCCCGGTATCCCGGGGCGATCCCGCCCGTTCCCGGCTGTGTGTGCAGGAGCCGTCACGTGAGCCCCGATTCCCAGTGACCTGGAAATCCGTCTGCAGGGTGCCTTTCCCAGCAGAGGGCACCCGGAGACCGGGAATGTGGGGATGGTGTCAGCCACAGCCACCCCTGGAACGCTGGGAAGCTGGAAAAGGCCCTGGGGGGGCTGATTCCTTAAACCCTTCCAGTGACCGGTGGGAAACGTTTCCCGTGGGTTTCCTTGTTCTCTGCAGGATGAAAAAGGAGCAGAAACTGCTTCTTTCGGATGTTTATTGACGTATTTGGCGAGGGTGAGTGTCCTGCTCTGGTGGGTCTCAATATGTAAAAAAAGGCTGAGAATTTGCTGAAGGAAGAATTTCAGAAAGCTGGTAAAGTTTGTGAAAATCACAGAAAAATCGTGAGCTTGTTAATGCTGGAAAAGGTCTCCAAGATAATCTGGTCCAGCCACCCCCCAGCACTGACCCAACGTCCCCAGGTGCCACATCCACAGGGATTTTAAACCCCCCCAGGGATGGGGACTCCACCCCTGCCCTGGGCAGCTGTGCCAGGGCTGGGCAGCCCTTTCCAGGAAGGAATTGTTCCCAGTCTCCCGGGTGACCCTGCCCTGTCTGTTGTGCTGGGGAGCAGGAGGTGTCCTTGGTGCTGCCCTGGGCTCTGCAGAGCCCTGCTGGCACGGTGCTGGAGCCAAGGGGACACGTGAATCTCCCAAACCACTTGGAACAATGCAGAGGAGAAACCTTCCCGGGTGCCTTGGCAGCTGGACAGTCGCTGAAAGGGGAAGGAGCTGCTGTGACTTCACCTCCTGGAGGGAGCCCAAACCCAGGAGTGCCTGGCCCGGGCAGGTCACCTCGTGCCCGCACTGCATTCCTGTGCCCGGCTCCTTTGGGATCAGCAGCTGCAGTTATATCACCCTGACCAAAGGGCCACAGCAGCACAGACCCTGCTGAGTCACGGCTGTGCCATTCCAGGCAGGAATCCGGGATGGATCCCCTGCCAGGCACTCCCAGGGGAGCTGACCCTGCTCCACGGTCCTGGGGCAGTGCCAGGAGGGAATGGGAAGGGGTTGGGAGCCTCTGAAAATAAAAGTCACACCAGCCTGCTCTGCCACTGAGAACTGAGGATAAATAAGAGCATAAATTGGGCTCGTGAAAGCTTTTTCGAAGTCTGAAATTGTTAATTAGTGTTAGAGAGTCACAGGATGGTTTGGGTGGGAAGGGACCTTGAACCAGTGCCACCCCCTGCCATGGGCAGGGACACCTCCCACCAGCCCAGGTCGCTCCAAGCCCCGTCCAACCTGGCCTGGGACACTTCCAGGGATCCAGGGGCAGCCACAGCTTCTCTGGCCAACCTCTGCCAGGGCCCATAATCATGGAATCATTAAGGTTGGAAAAGACCATCCCACATCCTTGCAGGGACTCCCACATCCCTGCCGGGAGCTCAGTGGATTTGTATCCACAATAACATTTTAAAACTTAACTTTGTAAGTCAATATGGGGTTTAAGCCGAGTTTTGCACACGTGGCTCAGGGCAGGTCCCCATTCCTGTGGGTCTGGCAGTGCTTGTCAGCAGCCTGTCAGTGTTCCTGAGGATCTGGGATCGTTGCTCCGCTGAGGTCGTCCAACAGAATGAATTTGTGAAAGGGAATAAAAGAAACTGGTCATTCCTATCTGTCCCAACACTGTGTTCCACTTTGGCTTTGCCCATAATGGACAGAAAACTGGGATGTGACCTGCTCCTATCCTGCTCCTCCCCTCCAAATACATCTGTGTTCAGAGGACCTCGAGGGTGAGTGAAAAAAATCCCTTAATGGGATGTGATTGTCCCTGGCTTTAATTCCTGACAGAGCCCCCCAGATAATTGGTTTATTTCTTAATCTTCCATCATTTTGTTAAACTCCTTTCAATTTTCAATATGAGAGCACAAAAAAAAAAAACCCCCAGCCCTCCTTCCCCTGCTCAGTGTCTGCAGGGATTTCCCAGGAATGGTGTAGCAGGACTGGATATCTCTGGGTGTTCTGTCCTGTGCCTCTTTTACACTCTGACTGCAGGTGCTGCCCTGTTCTTCCCCACAGCCCCCTCACTCTTGTTTTCCTTGCCCACCCCAGAAGTCCCCTGCGAAGAAGCTGAGCCACGCCATCAGCAGGTCCCTGGGCTGCGTCCCCAGCAGGGAACCCCCCCGGCCCCTGTTCCCTGAGCAGCCAGAGAAGCCCCTGGACCTCGCCCACATCGTGTGAGTACCCACCTGGATCCTGGATCCGTGTTCTGAGGGAGCCAGGGGAGGTGCCTGGGTTGGGATTGGGATGGGGGGGGCAAACGGGAGCTTTGGGCTTGGAATGGTGACTGTGCCACACTGGGTCAGGAGC